TCGCTTGACAGAAGTGAGGAGGGGGGAGGAGCTTTTGGAGGGTCCAAGAGGGTGGAGAAGATGGAAAATAGTTTTTTAGGATTGGAATAGGAAGATTGGATCTTATCTTGAAAGAAAGTGCTTTTTGCCTGAGAGATCGAAGCAGAGAAAGAGGAGAGGAGAGCTTGATAGGTTAGGAGGTTGTCACAGTGTTTGGATTTCCACCATTTCCGCTCTGCTGCCCTAAGGACGGTTCTATTAGCACGCAGTGCATCATTTAGCCAGGGAGCCGGAGGGGACTGACGAGCCTGCCGAGATGTCAGAGGACGTTACTGATGGGGTGCGGCTGCGGAGTGATACTGTGTGTATGCAAGCCCGCATCTAGGACGGATCTATGTATCATGGCTGTAGACCTGTTAAGTAATAAAGATACCTCATACAAAGGTCTACGGATACCTTATTACTCTCCATGACCTGCGGTCAACTATACAGCATAAAGGACTATTACACCGTCTTTCTTGAACAATCCGAAGTGTTGCCAAACGTTTGATTTGTAGGTATTTTTCGGTGCGCTGTGTTTCTCTTTCTCCTCAACTTCCGTGTGTGTTGATAACTGAGACTCTCGGCCTCCGTAGTGGCAAAGCAAATATCAAAGATCGTCTCTGCTGAGCGTTGACAAGATGAGGGGATTTTATATGAATGAATCGTTTTTTTACCGATGCAAAGACGCTACGCAATCGATGCATCGCGAGTTCAACCCGGTTCAACCCAAACTGTAGCCGATGTGCACTCTTTCAACCGGTGCACTCGCATCTTGAACGTTTATGCCGGTGCACCGATGCGAATCGGTGAATCTTAACATCTCTAGTACAGACCATGCATTAGGTCGTTGGTGTACTTAGCTGCTGTGGCCTTGTTGCACCGATCTTTTATGGCTTGTTTAATATCCTAAGAACATAAAATAAGTAACACACTGTCATATTATCAGGACATGATTTGAAATAGCACTATTGTGTTTCTAAGACAACAATTAAAATCATCCAAATCAACATACTTGATAGTATACCTATTAGACAATATGAAACTTACCAGACAGACAGCATCGGTGGAAATCCCACCATCCTCCAAAGGCAGATGGAAGACTGCATATTTAAAAAAAAAAACACACAATAATCTTTGTTACTAATAAGAAACTACAGAGAAGATACATAGACATACAGACAGACAGGTACACACACAGACAGAAAATCAGGCAAAGAATGAGAAGCCGGAGCAACTTGGCCTTAACGCCTTAACGTGGACTAAAATGGTTAACAAGAAACAATGCCATGGCAAAATAAATATAAATATGGGGAAATATAATTAAATGTTATGAGTTCTAATTTGGAGGTTTAAACAATTATGTTTAGGTAATGATTGCACTTCCATCAATTAGTGATCAGTTAAATCAATAATCATCTACTTGATTTATAACAAAGAACAATACTAATAACAATATATAATAGCTGTAATTCATGTGATTACACAACAACCTATCATGTACCTGCAAACTTGGTCCAGCAGTTGAGGTGTGAGCCGTAGATCTTCCTTCCTCTTCTGGTTTTGTCTCTTTAATTGAGTGTGTTCATGAAATAAACAAAGTTTAAAAAATGACAACACAAAGCTGATTTAAAGACATAGCAGATGTAAACAAGTAACAAAACATACCACGGTCTGAGTGTTGCTCAGTGAGCTGCTGCATTGAGGAAATCATCCTAGGGAGACCTACAAATACAGTGATTATTAGCAATATCTCATTGAATAAAGATAAGAAGTCTACAGCCAAATTACAGGGGGTAGAATTTACCATCTCAGTTTGGTGTATTGGCATGCTAACATTAGCTAACTAGCCCTAAACAAAGTATATGTATGTAGGGCTGATGGGAATGTCACACGTTTTTGGGTTATTTTTACATAAGATGCCAGATGGTGCGTAAGGAAAACTACCAACATTTTCAGGTTTTGATTTACTTTGAGGGATATATGGATATCTGTAAAAAAAAATGCATTACAACCCAGCCAGCAATTGTAGAGACATTTAACTTAAAACAGAAAAAAAAAGCTGGGATTCAACAATTGGAAATTGGATTCGTCCGGGGACCTAAAGGTTCATGGCAATCTATCCAATAGTTGTTAATATGTTGGAATAGCCTCCCAACTGAGATACGGGATTGTCCCACTCTCAATAGTTTTAAAGGTTAACTCAAAGAATGGTTGAGAAACAAACAGACGTGTGATCACCGCTAACTGCATTTTAACACAGGGGTATCTCCTCTTGCACTTTGTGCATCTCTTGTATCATCTCTTGCACTTAATATGTCGTTGCTGCTATAGTGTACTGCCATGTGGTAAATACTTGTGTGTGCTGCTCTTGCTCTTTCTGCATATCATGTATTTATTTTTTGCTCTGTTTACAAATGTCATGTTCTTATATGTTGTATGTCAGGGACTATGGATGGAAATTAGCTCAAAGCTAAAATCCGGCATATTTACACTTGAAGCATTATTTGTCTTAAGTGTTCATTAATGTGCATTGTCCCTATTCAAATAAACGATTTAAATGAAAAAATAAAAATGTTGATACATTTGAGTCCAGACTGAAGTGGTGGACTAGCTAGCTAACTGACTGGGAGACAAACATTCTGTAAATTGCAAAACAGCTTCATGCTGCTACTGCGGCTAAAAAATATATTACTGTTAAATCAACATACCTTCAATGATGCTCAAAGCATTCCTGAGGGAATAATTCTCCCTCTCCAGTGCAGCAACCCTTTCTTCCAACGTCCTCTGGTAACTATATTTGTTCACCTCTTGGGCCTATCAAAAAGCACACCATTAAAAAAAGAAGGTTAGGTTTAAAAGCCAGTGGTGGAAAGTTAGTTCTAAATAAATGTACTTTTTTTATATACGTGTTTTGAGGATTTAGCAGCCAGGTATGTATTGCACAGTTTAAGTACATTTAGGTCACTGCACTTTGGACTTAGTATAAAACAGATACATACCTTCTGAAGATCCTTATATTTTTTGGATAATATCTGTGGATGACGATGACTCCGGCCTTGGTTTTTTGCTTGGTCTCTCCTGAGAACAGACAACAACATACATAAATATTTGTTTTTGTGTGTGGTTGTGTGTGTATCTTCATAAAGTGGTGGTGTTTCGATTTTGAATAACTCACCTGACTGTTCCACGTCGTCGTCCTCCTCCAGAAAAGGCCTCCTTTTCTTTGCCCTCTTGCCTTTTCCCATTGGCCCGGATTGTTCCAAAGGTTCTTTACCTTCAACCAGCCGGTTCCTCATCTTGAGGAGTGCACCTTTGTCATCTATTGGAAGCAACAAATATATTCAGCCTATTACTTTGTACAATCCATATATATATATATATATATATATATATATATATATATATATAGGGCACATCAACATTTGTATGTGAGTCACATTGTCTGCTTACATGACAATACGTTGGTAATGATAGTCTGTATAGGAAAATATAACATATGGTCATGCTACACCCATTAGTATACTTATGATACTTAGCTGATAATACCTATGTAGCCAGGTGATTTAAACTACATATTAGTGGCAGCTGGTGAAAAATATTTGAGGTGGGGCTGTGGAAGATGGGGGCATATTTTATACCAGGGGTCTGCAACCTTTTTGAAACTGAGAGCTATACTGAAGGATAATGAACTATGGAGGCCTGCTTTTTTGATATAATCTTTCTGAAGAATATAAGTATATTTTTACTAATTACTGTTTCCAATGGGCGACACTTTCTTAGATAAAAAACACTATTTTTTATTTTTAATAATAACTTTAGAACGGATTATAGAGAGCCTTTCATTTAACAGATCTGAGGACGCTGATTGGCTGAAATGTGCTGCCATATTTTTCGGGTAGCAGCGGTCAGCGGTTGGCTGCTGCTGCGCTGGGGTGGTTAATTCCCAGGAGAGAGAGGGTAATGATTCTAATGAAACATATAACGGTTTAGATTTGATATACTAAACAGTATTGTACTTATTATAAATATAAAACTTTCCATATAGCACCTCTATTGACCAGCCGCCACTGCTATATATTAACAAATAAAACATAGGTCTAACAACTGTTAATAATGATAAACTGTACATGTATGATCTATTTAAATATGCCAATTTACCGCCAGTTGATAACACTTTCGCAGTCCAAGCCGTCTTTTTCCCATTTTGGGGCCACCAGACAAGATACTCCTTGTCCAATTCAGGATCATACTCCCCCTCAATTAAATTAAACCGGCCAACTTCGATTGTATCATTGGTAAATTCATAGAGCCCGTACATTTTTGTGTTCAAAAGTAGCTCTAAGTAGTGGCAACAAAGTGATTACAATCCGGAGATTGCAGTTGGCACTGCGGTCTGTATCCTAGCAACGCTAGAGAAGCGGGAAGCGCGAGGCGAAAGTTGGGCACGCGCACGTCACCACTCACCAGCTACCCTCAGCGGCAGAATAATCCGTGCTTGGAAAAAGTCTTTAGTTTTGATTCTCATTCACAAAAAGAGAGAAAACCTGAGAATGTAGAAAATATATTTGTCAGATGTAGGTATAGATATTCCCAGGACTACAAAACGGTACCGGAGGACCTGTATGGAGGCACAACTTGTGACAGGTAAGGACGCGGGTTTTCTCTTCATATTGGACAAACGGGATGAACTGCCAATATAAGACGTATTTCATTTGGTGGTTTTTGTCTCACATTACTGTATTCAACGAATTATAGCAGAGTATACTACAACATTTTGAAACATTTTTTAGATGTACATGTATAGATTCACTTCGTGTATACTGCTATTATTCCTATTTTGATAGCAGTAGGGCAATATGTAAATTATGTTATAAAACATATAAAATCAATATTGACTCTAAAAAAGCTGAGATATATAAACCAACCCTAGCTTTTTGCTGAGATGCCAAATTAAAATGCTCACAATCAATGTGTGTATAAATGTCTGTGTAACAGCTGTGTGATTTTATCAATTTACAGACTCTGACTCATCCAGTGATGAAGCTTCAAATGAAGATCGAATGGTGGGTGAGAGTATATGTATTACAGTGACGATGAGGTTGTGTGAGATTCATTAAAATCATATTATCAGGAGTTATTGTGTAGCCTTTTGCTTTTTGCTTTAACTCAGGCTGATCACCATTCTGGCGGGACATCAGATGACAGAGGGGAGGATCCACATCATGAAATGGTAGTTTTTTGCATTGACTGATCCACAGACTTAAGAAATTGGACTCACTGGTGGACTTAACTATGACTCTGCTACTTGGTCACTGATTTTTTTTTAATGCATTGCCACAAGGTCATCGTTCGTCCGTCATGTACTGTCTTTGTATCCTGCTTGAATGCTCTTTTTATGATGCCTGTCTCAGGAATAGCCCCTCTTTTTTTATTGAATTAATTTGATTTAAACTTTTCTGTCTCTCAGAGTGACGATGAAGTAGAGATGGCTGCAGACGACGAAGGAACAGATCAACAACATGAAATGGTACAACATAAACATGCAGGATTGTTTTACTTATTATGCAAAAAAATGTATTCTGTTAAAATCCATGACTACATTACATGCTACATTACAGGTAGCAGTAAGAGACAACAGTTTTCTATGATGATAAGAATACAGATTTATCCGACACAAAAGAAGTTGGGTTACAAATATTTAACAAAATGTATCAGGAGTTATTTTATAACTTATAGTTAACATTATTTTCACTGTATGCACATACGACTTTCACCCACACTGCTACCTTCCCATTTAAATATATTATGTTGCTGCATGCGAACACCTGCATTCCCTATGGGCATCAATAAAGATCCATCTTATCTTATAGCCTTTTGCTGTCTCTCAGTCTGGAGGGTCATCAGAGGACGGAGGGGAAGATCCAAACCATGAAATGGTATAATTTGTGCAGGTCCACTTTGTTCCAGAAAGACAAACTGGTGTTTGGCTCATGACACAATTCCATCAGATTAATGATAAAAACCTAGAGGACATTATACAACTTCTGAAATCCTCCTCCTGCTGCCTTGATATTATTCCAACAGGATTTTTCAAAGATGTTTTGCCTTGCATGGCCTCAGATCTACTTCATATAGTAAACAAATCTCTTCACTCAGGTATTTTTCCACAGGCCCTGAAAACTGCAGTCATTAAACCGCTCTTAAAAAAGAATAATCTAGATGCTTCAGTAATGAACAATTACAGGCCCATATCAAACCTCCCATTTCTAGGTAAAATCATTGAAAAAGTTGTTTTTCAACAGTTGAGTAATTTCTTGCATTTAAATAACTGTTTCGATGTGTTCCAGTCAGGCTTTCTTCCAAACCACAGCACTGAGACTGCTCTTGTAAAGGTCTTTAATGACATCCACTTAAACACAGACAGTGGCAGAACTTCAGTGTTAGTATTATTAGATCTCAGTGCTGCGTTTGACACTGTTGACCACAGCATATTACTAGACCGACTGGAAAACTGGGTGGGACTTTCGGAAACAGTTCTAAATTGGTTTGAATCCTACTTAAAGGACAGAAACAACTTTGTTTCTATAGGTAAATACACATCTGAGTTGACAAATATGACATGTGGGGTACCTCAAGGCTCCATCTTGGGGCCTCTTCTCTTTAACATCTACATGCTACCACTGGCTCAGATAATGAAAAACAACCAAATAAGTTACCATAGCTATGCAGATGACACACACATTTACATAACAATTTCACCAGGAGACTATGCTCCAATTCAAACACTGAGTAAGTGCATTGAACAAATCAATGACTGGATGTGTCAGAACTTTCTCCAATTAAACAAAGATAAAACTGAGGTAATGGTTTTTGGAGCCAAGTCAGAACGTATAAAAGTTAGCGCTGAGCTTCAGTCTGCAATGTTCAAAACAACAGATCTATAAAGCCAGAAATGTAGGTGTAGTCATGGACTCTGACCTGAGTTTCAACAGTCACATTAAAACAGTTACTAAATCAGCCTACTATCACCTAAAGAATATATCTAGGATTAAAAGACTAATGTCACAGCAGGATTTGGAAAACACTTGTCCATGCTTTTATCTTCAGTAGACTCGACTACTGTAATGGTGTCTTCACAGGTCTCACTAAAAAATCTATTAGGAAGCTGCAGCTGATTCAGAACGCCACTGCTCGAGTCCTCACTAACACTAAGAAAGTGGATCACATCACTCCTGTTCTGAAGTCTTTACACTGGCTTCCTGTGTGTCAAAGAATAGATTTCAAAATACTGCTGCTGGTTTATAAAGCACTGAATGGTTTAGGCCCAAAATACATTTCTGACCTCCTGCTAAATTATTAACCATCCAGATCTCTCAGGTCTTCAGGGACTGGTCAGCTTTCTGTCCCCAGAGTCAGAACTAAATATGGTAAAGCAGCGTTCAGTTATTATGCTCCAAATATCTGGAACAAACTCCCAGAAACCTGCAGGTCCGCTGCAACTCTGACTACTTTTAAATCCAGGCTGAAGACTTTTCTTTTTGTCGCTGCTTTTAATTGAACTATTCATATCTTAGACTGCACTGTAACTTTTATCCATGTATTTTTTCTTTTAATGTTTATTTTATTAGCTTTTCTTTTTAATGACTGATTTTAAATGCCATTTTCTTAATGTCTTTCATTTTTTGTAAAGCACTTTGAATTGCCTTGTGTTGAAAAGTGCTATATAAATAAACTTGCCTTGCCTTGCCTTGCCTATGACTTCTGCTGCTCTTCTATTACAGAATTCTGACCGAGGCACAAACACTTCAGATGAAAGTGCAGGTGAAGATGTAATGGTGTGTAAGATTGTTTTCATTATTATATTGGCAAAAATGTATCTCCTCTGCTTAGCAAACAGTTTATTTCTGGTGGTAACAATATAGTGCTTATTTAGGACACAATGGATTATAGCTGTATACGTTTATTTAGGACAGAGCCGGTCATGTTAACAGCATGACACTAAATCAGAGCCCAATGTTTATGATTACATCATCAAGATCACACTGGAACTATAAACGTTGTTGATTAACATAAAGAAGGTGATTGGCTGAATCAGGAGTTCAACTTTTTAATTGTTTTTCTCAACAAGATAAAGACAAAATGTGGCACTGGCTGTTAACGCAACTGAGAAATATCCTTGAATATAAGCGTTGTGTATAAAAACATTTTAGTCCCGACCAGAGACTACAGTATGAATTTCAAAACAAATAATTCAGTAATAGAAACATCAATCTGCTTTGGTATGGTAGCAAACTCTACAAACAACTGATATGACTTGTAGAAAAAGTAGGTGGTTGAAAATAGTCATTCCCGCCTTCCTTCACACTTAATCTATTGTCTTTTGGTGGAGCTCTGTGGAGAGAAAGAATAGAGAATGTTACCAAAGTATATCAAGAGCAGGCCATGTACAGTATATGTGCAGCTGACCTCGGAGAAGTACCAGATTCAATTGATAGCTGAACGAAAATATGCTTTATAGTTTCGATAAAATAGTACACTTTTTCATAACTTGAAATATGAAGTTCGGCAATACGCTTCCTGATGCCCATCCCAAACTTTTCCTTATCTAAATTATGTGAGTATCTGAAAATCTTAACACCTTTGCGACTGGATCAAATGGGATGGGAAGTAAAAAAAAAAAACCTACACACAAAACATGTGTCCACACACAAGTTATCCAATTAATTGTAAATGAGAAGATTTATTTGGGCGTACCTGTAAATGCCGAGCACCGCGTGGTCTCTCTCAAAGGGCTCCAGTGCGAGCTGCTCCAGTGCGAGCTGCTCCAGTGCGAGCTGCTCCAGTGCGAGCTGCTCCAGTGCGAGCTGCTCCAGTGCGAGCTGCTCCAGTGCGAGCTGCTCCAGTGCGAGCTGCTCCAGTGGCTTCATGTTCTCCCCACTTATCTTCTTCACCTCTGAGGCAAGCACTGCCTCTGGAGCCGCTGTCAAGTCTATACAGTTAATCTATAGAAATAAAATGGTACATGCATTGTATCAACACTGGAAGTGAATACAGACACGAGGCTCAGGAAGTCAACACTGACAGTATTACACCAACCTTCAATTGTGATGGCGCCCCTGTGTTCAATTCATCAAAAACTTCAATTAGGCCCATCTTGTGTACTATCAATAAATTACCATTTCTGGATAGATGTAAAAAAATGCTATTGTATACATTATGGTTTGGCAAAGGGAAACCAAAGGTTCAAAGTTACTTCACCCCATTCATCCATGAATTTCAAAAACTGAAGGACACAGGATTCTGTTGGAAAGATGATAATGGGTTAGAACATCACACCAGAGTAACAGCTAAAATATGTATTTGTGATGCAGTAGCAAGGGCAATGGTGCAGAACTTAAAACAGTTCAATGGAGAATTTGGATGTTGTTTTTGCTACCACAAAGGGGCGGTGGTACCAAAAGGCAGAGGTTTTACTAGAGTCTATCCTGTACAGATAGTTGGATGTGAACTGAGACAAATGGCTGAAACTGTACAACTTGCCAAGTTATTGATGGAAAACGGTGATGACAAAGCTCAAAGGGGTGTTAAAGGACCAAGTCCACTGATCCTGTTGCCATTATCAAAAAGGCGTTGAGAAGGTCTCTTCCTCCTCCTCGGTCATCAAATACTCCTCGTCCTCTTCCCCTAAATTGTCCACGTCCTCCTCTGTCCCCACAAGGGCTGAACCCTGAAAAGCAAACACATAATGGGGGGCATTAGAAGGTTATGGGGACTACAACACAATAGGACTGCAACAACTGTGATTGGTCAAGTTGGGCTGCTTGAGTTCTCTCCTACTTGATGCATTTGTATGAGCAATTGTTATAATACAACAGAATATAATAGTAATATGCTTTAGTAGCTAACAATAGTGTATACAATCAAAACATAATACACTAGTTAGCATATAGGTGACGGTGACGTATCTGGTTGTGTTCAGCTCCTGGGGCTGAGCACGTGTGATTTACTTGGGTGAAATCACACGTGGGTGCTGCGCCGCGAGCTGCTACTGAAAGCAATTTATCCGTTTCAACCCTAACCGCACGTAACGTTTCTATATAGTCACTCACAGCTATCCTAGTTAACGGTGAAAGCTTCCATACACGTTGTTGTTTTTTGCTTAAATATTGGAAAAAAATATCATTTTATTTTGGTATTGACATGTGTTAACCTTTGTATTAGGAGCATGTATTTGAACCTACCTTTAATGGTGAGAAGAAGATCTATGCTGGTTCTTCAGTTACAATGGCAACACTGGTTTAGCGTGTTCTATTGCAGCCGACGGTCCTCTGTGGCTCTTCCTCTGCGTGGACCCATGGATGTATAAGCGTGGACCGCAGCACGTGTAAAGTCTCCTCACTGATTCACTTCTTTCCGTGAGGCTTCACCACAGAGCACAGGGGACACCAGCGCCACCACCGGGTCTGGGTGACTTATAAAGCCAGTATAAAAGCGCATTCTTTCAATAAATGCTGAGGGAAATACAAGCAGCTTTTTACTTTCTATGTATTGT